ACCACGTTCCAATCATCCTTCCATCCACCTTCTTTTTTCCGGTCCGTGTCTACGTGCTGTTCAGCCTTCTCGGAAGCGGTCTCACGGTTCCCACGAACGGCACCTCTTTTCTCTGAAGCCATCTCGACATTGACCGAGAGAAACCGCGTCTTCCGACACCGCGTCCCACCTAGATTCGACGTCGTTGTGAGAAAACTCTCAAATACACGCTCCCCTGCTTTTACTCGCCTCGCCCGCGATTCTTACATTTTTCCCCAATTTTCCCATTTTTCCCCTTTCTTCCCTCTTGACTGTGTGTCTGATCTTTGCCCAGGGTCTTTTAATAGTTCCAGTGCCATTCGTATCTATCACGTACGTACACGTGTGTGTCTGCCAGCATCTCGAAACAATAGCGACGAGGGTTGAAAGCAAAATTGTCCCTCGAGCCGCGGTGTTTCGAAGACAGATTTCAAAGTAAACAAAGTATATCGTAGATACACACGTACATATATCGTCGATGCGCGTGAAGCTCGATAGCTGACGATAGATGCGTAGAAGATGCGATCGCCCTTTTAAACGTGCAACAACCCCGCGATAGTGGAATCGCGACACGACACGACACGCGAGGCGTTAACACACGCACACGTGCAGAAACGACCCACTCAACTTCAAAAGTCTTTTGTCTCAACTTGTTATTGAAAGTTGTCCCGGGGGTCGCTAGGAATGTAGCGGCAGAGGATGCCTTTGGATATTCAAGGACGAGGACAGAGGAAGGGAGTAAACGAGAAGGGACGAGAAAAGGAGGGAGGGAGAGTGAGAGAGTGAGAGAGAAGAGAAAAGGGTGATGAAGGAGAATGGCGAGGAGGTGGCGAACGAGACTCGATCCAACAGGCCATGCGGGCGCACTGTCCTAATTACAACGAGGCCTCCTATTTTTTTCGAGCTGAAAGGAGCCGAAGTATTTGCCCGCGGCAACGGAGGCTAGACGATTCCGGGCCCGGGCCCGGGCCCGGGCCCAGGCCCTGGCTCTCAGCTCAGCTCGGCTCGGCTCGTCTCTCGTCTCTCGGCTCTCGGCTCTCGGCTCCCGGCTCCCAGGACTCGGCTCGGAAACCAAGTGCAAAAGGATGGTCGGCACTTGGCCGTCATCGAGGAACCGGCAAAACGAAAGAGACCGCGGCCGCAGGGAAAAGGACAAGGCAAGACGTGAAGAGAGGAGAGGAGAGGAGAGGAGAGGCGAGGAGAGAACAGTAGGATTCTCCGCGGGAACGTCGCAGTTTTCCCAGCCATTCATGCTACCGACCGATTTTTTTGCCCTCTTCTCACGACTCATTCATACCTCGCCGCATGAGATCCGATCGTCGATCCCTACCTGCATCATCAGCCAAGACACCGGCGAATCATCCTTTCCGGCCCTCGCCCTCTGCCGTCCGTTCCACGCACCGGTATGCATGCGCCGCGCTCTGCTGGACCTTTCGCATTCCTTCTCTTCCTTCTCCCGCCTTGTTAACCAACCTTTAAATACTTGTCCGTTTTGTTTCTCTCTCTCTCTCTCTCTCTCTCTCTCTCTCTCTCTCTCTCTCTCTTTCTCTCTGTAATCGACTCTTTGAATATTTATACGCTCGCTTATAAATGCGAGCATTATCGCGTCGTTTCACTTTTCTACGAGCTTCCTCGCTCTTTCTTTTTACTTTCGCGCTTGTTTCGCCGTTTCGTTCCTTTTGGGACAAAATCGGCACGGCCAAGATGATCTTGGTTCTCCGGCCGAAAGTTTACAACGACGAAGAACCAAGTCAGTTTGCCAGAGACGTGATTACGATGAAATAAAAAAAAAACTCGATCGTCAGGATGGTTCTCCTCTCGACCAAATACACGCAACGATACAGGAAGGAGAACTAACGATCTTAATGGCTAGGCAAAACATTGACACCTTGGCGGCGCTCGGGAAACCAACCAGCTGGCCGTGGACGTCGCATCGAAGAGGAGATGAGAGAAGAGCAACGAAGAGAAGAGAGGAGAGGAGAGGAAAAGAAAAGAGAAGAGAAGAGAAGAGAAGACAAGAAAAGAGAAGAGAAGGGCAGGGATCGTCAAACAGACGGTCAGCACGAGTGAAGTGGAAATCCTTATGAGAAGGTAAGTTGGCAGAGCGATGACAACGAGCTAACAGCATGGGTAAACACGGCGGCTTGGGACAGAGCCGTGCCCGGGACCATGATCATGTACTTACGCGTTTCCTCTCAAACATCCAAGACGTAGACAGCACCGAACGCACAACCACTCGGCCACTGATCATGGGAAACGACCAGTCGTTCTTGCTCGACTAGCAAATTTAGCAACGGGATCCATCGACCGTCGATCCATACACCATACGTGCTGTCTGTCGCCACGTCCCAACGAAAATTTCAACTCTCTAAACGTTTGACAAAGTGACGAGAACGCGCGTCCCGATTCCCGATTCCCGATTCCCGATTCTCGAAAGCGAAAGGACCACGGTTTTTGGCGCAAAAATAATTCGCAACGTGTCAACGACCTACGAAGAAATGTCTTCCGTTTTCTATTTACGACGCAAAACCTCGTGGCTACGTTAAATTTGTCATCTGCGTGTAGGTATGGTATGGTATTTCAACGGGAAATGTTTTTCGACAATATGACAAACGTTCTCTCGTTGCATCTCGAATAGATCGAGAAACGTTACGAGTAAACAGAAATGAAGGAAAATAGAACGCAAGGCAAAGTGGAATGAAACGCAAGATATACCATGTTGAACTGTCTTTGGTTTAATATGATACAACAGAGCAGGCGTTCTTAGGGAGGGGCTCGTGTACATATTACATATTCACATATATAATTATATTTTGCAGCATCTGTATCAACAAATATCTGCTTATGTACAACACGTATCAAGCAATCGATAATTATTTTACACAAAATTTTACATCGTGCGCACCGATCGCGTAGCACGTGCCGGTCTCACCAAAATCCAAATTTTCTCTTTCTTTCTTCCAATCGTTCGAACATTTCGCTCTCTCGATGTTCCATACGGACGAAACGATACAATAATCTAAAAGTCTTGCTCTTTTTAACCGGCACGTCCCACGTATCTTGACACGAGCACACTGATCGTACGTAATAACAAAGATCGGGGAAATATTGCCAAAAAGAAAAAAATTCCTTGCACTCCTCGCGGTGCAAATTCGTTGAGTAGCTAAATTTTGAAAGAATTAGAAGTCGAACGGAAATTCGACAGAGTAGTGTACCTCGCGGTAATCGACAAGATCACTTTGCTAATCGACGCTCCAACAGGCTGCGCTGCTGCTTCTCATCGACACGTTCGACTGTTCGAGTTCCTCCTACAACGTTTGCAAATTCGCGACCAAATTTCTTCCGCTTTTCTCGAATTCACCCATCGACGCGCTCGATTCCTCAGTAAGTTCAAATAAAATGGCAGTCTTTGCTATTTAAAAAAAAAAGTTAAAAGTGAAAGTCGTTAGAAAAAAAACGTCGTGATCGGCACTTTTAAAAGCATAAAACCGTACGATTGTCTGCTAAATAAAAAAAAAAAAGAAAGAATCTACAACAAAAAAATTAAAAAAAAAAAAAAAAAAATGGTAGAAAAATGAAATGCGCATACGAGATCGATTCGCGAGATCGACGTTGCCGCACGGATCGTATTCTCTATCCTCCTCGCTTTCTCTCTCTTTCACTCTCTCCTTGTTTTCCATTTAGTAGGCGCAAGCTTCGTCTTCTCTCTGCCCCTTCGTCCGCTTTCGTTCGACAGAATCGAAACTCGCAAGAATCGATTTGGGCGATTCGACGATTACAATTGATGACGTTCGACGATGCATATCACAGATACGACAATGTGGGGTTGAAACACGCGTGTTTCGCACAATCTGCGTGCGCGTACGGTCGGAGGATCGCGCAGCGCGATCGGACGTAAACTGTTTACACGTTTTGTTTACCAACTATCTACGATAAGCTTACAGGCCGCCAATGATGTGCAAATGAAACGTGACGTATTCGCGTAGGATGAGAACGCGCCTAACCGCATCTAAGTTTTCAAATTGTAAGTACGAAAAGTCTGCGAGGTCGGACGATCGTCTCGGAGCAAACGTCGAAGCGACACTTTGCACGACGCTCCCTTCTTCTGGACACGAAAGTTCATCGATTAAAACAAACTACCAAGAGAAAAAAAAAAGGAAAAAAAAAGAAGAAAAAAATCATGTGAAAAAGTAAAATTTAAGTAAAAATCGTAGTTTCGATTAGGTAAAAATCAATTTCACGAGAGGCTAAAATCTTTTCTACTCCGAGGATAAAAATTCCTTTCACTTGGATAATACTGATAAAACAATAATGCATGTTGGACTTTCGAGTCGTCGAAGATTACATTTCGTTCAGTCTACGATCATGTAATCGCACGTCGTTTGATCGAAAACAAAAGTGTCGAGCGCTACAGAAAAAGAAAGAGAAGAGAAAGAGAAAGAGAGATACGAAAAGAAAAATAAAATACAAAGGGAGAAACAAGATTTTGTTGTATAAAAGGTCACTCGTTGAACCAGTGTTATAGTCGGATAAAATCGATTTATACAAACAGCGACGAATAAAAGGTACCGGAGCAACGGACGTTGCGCTCCTAGTGATATCCTTGTAAAATTTACATGCTCCCACGGTGGAAAAAAGTACAAGCTGAGCGAAGGGAGTTGCAGCAGCAGCGCGGCGCGTAACGTAAAATGGCGTCGGCCGCGTCGCGTCCACGCGCTTCCTTCTCTTTCCCTAATCGTATCATTCAAATTCTACTAACGATATTGATGCAATAATAATTTGTTGTAATAGTGGTAGTAGTAATAATAATAGTAATAATCGTAACAATAATAATAATAATAATAATAATAATAATAATAATAATAATAATAATAATAATAATAATAATAGTAATAGTAGTAGTAGTAGTAGTAGCAGCAGCAGCAGTAATAATAGTAGTAGTAGTAGTAGTAAAAAATAAAAATAATAATAATAATAAAAACAATAATAATAATTAAAATAATAATATATCCTGTATCTTTCTTACGTTCTAGATAATTTGAAGCTCAACTAGATGCTTTAAATACAGTGAATCGGACATGTAAAATCTTTACAAAAATAAAAATAAATAATCTGAATAAATACGGATATAATAATATTACGTTAGTCAATAAATTATCATGTAGGATTAAAAATGGGGCGCAAAAACGGCTCGTCGAAGGATTTGTTATCTCCTTTGTCGCGGTCGTGCTGTCACTTTTCCTTGGCCCGGGCGTAATACACGTCCAATGTATCACGCAACGCAGCGTATACGCAGAAATTTCTTTCTCCTTGCTCTTTTCTCTCGCACGACGCGAACAGTCTAAATTAAAGCGCGAATACTGTATGTATTATCTCGTATATTTATGATATAATACCGCTGCGGTACACAAGCTCGTTTATACGGATTTCCTCTGAATCCTCTCTTTCCTCTCTTCCCATCGATTCGACTTCTTTCCGCTCTTGCTCTTCCCTTCCCCCCCCCCCCCCTCTTTGACAAATCGCCCTTCCGAATGAAAACGACAGCGAGACAAGAGACACGCGTCGATATCGTTGCTTTAAAATCTTTGCAAATAAATCGCGTTCAAAGAGGAATCACGTTATCCCGAATTGAACGAACGTTATCGATCGATCACGAGACGACACATTTCTACACAATTTTGCGCGACCACCAATTTTTTCATTTCAAATGGTTTTAGGTTCGGACCGATCGAGAATCATCTCGCCAAGTAAAATTATACTCGCCGTTTGCGTGAAATAAAAACAAACAAACCCGACAGGTCTGAAACGATATCTAAAACGTTCATGTATTCGAATCACACCGATACGAAAACGCGATAAAAAGAAACGGGCGAGTTTTTCGAAATCGATCGTACACGCGAGTAATTTCAAATTCAGAGATAAAGCAGCAATAGCAGACAACGTGAAAGAATCAAATAGATCGGAAGAAAACTAGAAATCTCAACGAATGATGAGAAATTTGATCGATGGCGCGGAACTGGTGTCTGCCAGCTTCGTTGATCCTCTTGCACGTAAAACGATTACACTTTGGACACGGATTATTTTCACGCGTGATGATGCGTGATCGTGGCGCGTACTGGCGTAAGCGCGTGCGAAATCGTATAATAATAAAAATTCACAGACGACGATGAAGTATAGAGAATATGGCGGCGAAAGCGAATGGGCTGCTCATCGCGTGACCCTGCTGCTTCTCGTTGTTTCCACTCTCTGGCTGGTTGTCTCACCCGGTGGCAACTCTCCGTCTGTTCTGCGGTGAACGTCGACGACGAAAGGCGGTGTAGACGAAATCGACGAAACTCGCGAACGTCGGTTTTCGTCGATTCATTCTCCGTGTCAGAGACAGACACCTTTGCTTCTGGTTGACACGGATACACGCGCACAATTCCGCGTTCCGACGATACGGTATATCAGTCGGTTTCACTGCGACGCAGCTGGTCGACGGATAGACCGATCGCCGCCACAGAGACGCAAACGCATCTCTCACTGGAACCGAGACGAGACGAAACGAGACGAGACGAGACGAGACGAGACGAGACGAGACGAGACGAGACGAGACAAGACAGGTAAGTAGCTGTTTGACCGAGCACGCCTCTACTAGCTCCTTCTCGTGCTTCTTTCCACTTTCCACTTTGCAACCTCACGACGAAAGATGGAAACCATCCAGGTTCGACTGTTCCGATTTCCTCAAACGGGCGAGTCGTCGCCTGGTAGCCCTTCTTCGGCTTTCGCCTTGCCATCCTCAGGACTGCAAACCGCGCCGTAAATGTTCAAACACCTGCACCACGTATTCCAGCCCGTTCATGTAGTCCCGAAAGATTAGCCAATCGCGCAAGTTCCGGAACGTCTCCGACGATGACAAGTTGCGGAATTCCGGCTTCATGATGTCGCGCGTCACGTCTGGCCGTGACGATAACTGCCGCTCCACTAATGCCACTTGCAACTCGCACAGAACCTGCAAACACAAGTTTCCCAATGTTATCTAAAGTCTTCTTACCTCGCTCAGCTCTGTCCTTTCCTCGACGCAAATCGAATCGAGCAAACAATCATTTATAGCAAAGACAAGTACGGGCGGTTTTTAATCAACGTTTTTTTTTTTTTTTTTTTTTTTTTTTAGACTCTCGTAGCACGCTAACAACGCGACCAAATTGAACAAACGTCGAGATTAAAAAAATATCCCAGACATTTTACGCTCTTTCCACGGTTCTCTCGATGACAAACATTGGGACAATATTAATAAATTAAGAGAATCGAAATCAGGGAAATGGAACGAAAAATGATTGGTCGGACGAATCGTAGAAATCTTTACTGACACGAGACTCGAGTCTCGCGTTCAGTCTCGCGCAAGATTTCGCTCGAAACTGTTTCGACAACTTGTTTCTTCGCTAGAAAAGATCGGCTGTAATTTGACGTAAACGAAAGGGATGAGGGAGACACTCACCGTTCGCAGCCTGTATTCGGTGTCCTTAAATTGATCGCGAAACTGAAGCTTAAGATTTTCTTGATCCCAGACTATTTGCTCGAGACCCACTGCATACTTCTGCATGTACTCGTATGCATCGATTAGAGCCTTGTCAAGCTGCGAGAACAAGAGACGGTGCTGTTACAATTTATCTTTACAGTTTATCTCGATCGATGTGAAAAGTAAATAAATCTTTAATCAGGCAAAGAGAAGAAATCAACTATATACCGTCTATACTACGTACTTGTAATCCGTTTAGGTACACTCGACTCAGCTCGTTTCCCAGTTCCTTGGGGATTTCGTGTGGCCCGGGAAGCCAGTCGTAGCGGTTGTCTCTAAACATCGAATGCAGATCGGCAAAGTCGATGTTGAACGTTCGTCTAGCCTGCAAAATCACGAGGAGATTGTACGTGTGACGATTAGAAAATGACACCACTTACTTGGCCTTGAAAGAATTTTCAAATTTGGAAAAATTGAACGTGAAACGCGAGACGTGAAAACATTTCTTTCAACGAGGATTAATTTTCGAGTAGCTACTCTGACTAGAAATTTCAACCACACCCCGTGTAATGACCAACGATTAAATTTGATCGTTGCCTTTCCCCTGATTGTACCCTACTTACTCGATAGGAAACGTCCAAAAAAAAAAAAAAAAGAAAAGAAAATGGACAAAATGTCTCGAATATTTTTACCAGTCTGCTATAATTCTACCAAGGATAATCCGACAATTTTCATTCCGCTTACAGTACTCGATCGTAACTACCACTACGTGTTTACGTAGGTGCCAAAAAATATAAACGTCCTCGCGATGAAATAGCACGTGACGAATGACATAAAATATAAAAGCTGGCGTAGACGCGACAACTCGCTTGCTCGCGGAGGGATTATCAATAATTTATCGGCCGAGGAGGGAGGAGAACGGCAGGAACGTGGAATCAAGGAGGAAAGACGGAGGCACAAAGTAACAAAAGGAGGCCGTTAACGAAGAAGGCGTACATTTTCTCCCGTGTTAACTGTTATACGCGACGTGCAAACGGCCTGTATTCGTGCGTCAAAAGTAGCAATGATCGGCCATGAAATCGGCTAAATGTCTTTATTTTGAAAGCTTTGAAAACTCTGATCACGAGGCGGATGATGGCGAGGTACGGCGTATATGGTCGCGTAGTATCCATATATATGCAAAACGCTTGGCAGTGCACCTTCATTATAGGAGCAGTATAGTTCAATAACAGGTTGGCGAGTTTAGTCAGCGATTAGCGACAGAGAAGAGTCGGCTGGTTGACGATAACGACGATCAACCTTCCGACATCCCTCCCGATTCCTGGTACGATGGGACCGTGGACAAGCCTGATGCTGACGGATGAGTAAGCTGGCGGATGGCGAATACCGCGCGAAGCACGCGTCCGCCTCGAGCTCCGCCAGTGTTTTGCGCTCGATTTTCGGGAATCGACGAAACACCGACGAAAGGGGGATGCCGTGCGCTCGTGCGAAAGCTAGATCGTTACCGAGAAATTACCTGGAAGCTCCAAGAGGCGCCGGGCTAGCCTCGATAATTGCGTTATCCGAGCGTAGGTCGTGTCGTTCGGAATCACGTCGTTATGAATCACGAACCACGCGAACCGGTATTCGCGAGCATAACAGCGCAGCGTAGGTACGTATGTACCATCGCACGGCAGTGGATATTGCATATTGCAGGCATAGAAAGCGATCTAACGAGCTGAAAAGGAAGGGAGAAACCCTCGCGCGCGCAATCGCCTGTCACGACTTCGGGATGCTGCTCCATTATTAGGCTACGTTCCGCGAAACTTTGAGCGCCGCGTATATCTACCCCAACAGAGCGCAGCTCCAGCTTAACGAAAGATCCGTCTAATGGTCATCTAACGCGATCGCAAGGTCGCATCGACACGCATCTCGTTTCGCGCGAAAATTCTCGCGTTTCGTGTCGTCGTCGGTTGTCAATTTGCGCGAGTCAGCAAGTCAAGCTTTCGATCCTCGAAAGGAACTCGAAACTGCGATAGAAAAGCAATCCGGTGTGTATTTCGATCGATCGCCGAGCACTACGTACGGGCAATCGTTTGTAATCAACTCGTACTCGAACTTTGCAAAAGTATTCCTTCCAACGAGATGTTTCGATACGAATTATATCACATACCTCTGAATCTATCCGATCGTGCTTCGCGTGTCTTGTCAATACTCAAAACGGAATAACCCGATAAATTCGAATCTATTGGTAAGTCATGGATTTTTCAATCATTTGAAAATTATTATTTAGAAAACGTGGCAACTTGACGACGACTCTGTTGTATCATTGAGGCACGTTGCCTCGCGGTAAATAATCAAGATCGATACCGATCGATCGCATCGATTACATTATAGATGCTTCCACGTTGAAATCAAGTTAAATTTTAAATATACGTGCATATGTCAATATCGATCTGCCTCGGGCTAACGTAAGCACCAACTACATACATATCTCGTCGGACGTGTCTTCGACCCCGCATCACGGGCCAGCTGGCCCGCGCAAAGATAACACAGTTATCCCGGCTCTTATCTGGCCCAGGAATGGAAATAATCATCACGCGATACTACTCTCGCCACTTGCAGGCCGCGATAATACTTTGACAAGCAAACAATTAGAGAACTATGCGGCAACCTGAGAATTAGTCGCGACCGTCGCGAATAATTTTCAGAAACTCTTCCCGTCGCGAAATTTACTCTCGGCTTGTCGGTTGTCGCAACGTTCTCTCCGCTATGATACTTTTTCGTCATCTTGAGAACGATTTTTACAACGATAAACAACGTTAGATTAATTCAACGGGGAATTACCGAAAAGAAAGAAGAAAAAGAAAAACAGAAAACGAATAGACGAAACGATCCAGTTGGCCAGTTGAATTCTCGTACAACAGTGTGTGAACCCGGTGATTCTTCTCGATCAGTAATTGATCCTTTTCCACGCCCACGTCATTACGAAATCCTTCGAAAAGGTACAGACGCGTATCTTTTAAAATAGAGACTTTTATGTATTGGAAACATTAAACACGATTATTAAAACTGAGCGGTCATTGATTGCGTCACGAACTGTTATTATCACGAAGCGTGTATAACACGGACTGTCCGGAGTCGGAGGCATCCGCAGCAGCCCGCAGGAGCAACCCGAGAAACCTTTGAATACGCGGACCGACTTCGTGAACTTCACAGTCACGGTCAATCCAAAGGCCAATCAAATAATTTTTTCGATTATTTCCCGCAATAGATACGTAACGTTGAAACGTAACCTTGCTCGTTCCTTCCTCAACTGATCTCTCACGCGGAATCGAAGCGAGTTAGAGAACCAACTACTCGAATTCCATCTCTAACGTTTCTCACGCTTGTTTCTGCCGATGCCGATCCTCGCTTAGTTAACCACCGCTCTCACGTTTCAACGGCTCTAGGATTCTTTCTTGTTACCACCTGCGTTTAATAAACTGACTATCGGGCGGGATGGGGGGGGGGGGGTTGAGGGGGATGTGTACGAATTTACAAGTTTCCTCGCTAGAAATTTCGTTCGGAAGCGCGAAAATACTCGCGAGTCGTATGTATCGACAAACGTTGTAAACGTGCTTCGTCGATATCGAAAGTAAACGAATCGCGAGTATCGGACAGATTTCTCGTACCGTCGCGAAAAGTTTTAGCGACAGAGGGAAATAGGAAGGGGAGGGGAGAATGGGTGAAGAAAAGGCAAGAAAAAAGAATGAAAGGAATTGTCGCTAAGAACCGCGCTGGGGCGGCGAGCAAATCTGAAACGCGGGTCTTTTGTGCCTCGTAAAAGTCTCCTCGGCCACACCGAGGCACGAATAATCGTAAAACCGGGCTGAAAACTGACAGGAAGTAGGCTGGCAAGAGAGTAGGTATGGACTGCCGAGGACCCGTCAAAATCAATTAGCCTCTGAGTCTTTCTTCTAGCGCGGCTTCACCGCTCCACCGCTTATTAGAAGTTATAAAATTTCGGTGCGACGGCCTCGAACCGATCGAATGGCTCGCTCCTGCGCTCTCGCGACACCGCCAGGCGCACAAAGAAGCCAACGCGCCGCTCTTCGCGCCGCGCCGATGTAAATCGTTTCGATTTCAAACTTTCCCGCTCGATCGATCCCCCCTCCTCTCTTCCTCTCTCTCTTTCTCTCTCTTTTGTTTTGCCACGAGTTTGTTGCTTTCGTTTGCCTCGTCGTCCACGATCTGTCGATAATCAAACAGCAAAAGTATAAAATTCGAGCTCACTTTCGTGTCTAGAACAAAATACTAGAATACATGGTGAGCACAGGTTTCTCTTAGTGTTACGTCGTAAATAGAGAAACGATGGTTTGTTTGGACGCGCTGCGATCGATCTTTCGGAGATTTTGGATCGAGGTCGAGAATCGACCGCGGCGAAAGAGACGAACAAGGCGAAGGAGACGAAATTTGAAAAACATGTCAGCGTTGAATGAAACGGTACGCGGATCGACACCCGGCGAACACCGAGTGGCAGAAAATACGTGTCGCAGCGCGTACTGAATGTATCGAGGTGAGTAAATGCACTGGCGGGTTGTATATCCGGTCAGCGCTTTAGTATGCAGGCAGAGTGCCGGCGTGTTGTATAGATGCCTCATCCTTGGCGGGGAGGGGGGCAGCTTCCGATTCTGATTTATTGGAATCCTCCGCTTCCGATATTTTATCCGATTCCTTCACGTACCGGCGCGCACATACGCGCCTCGTAGACGTCGGACTTCCTATCTACCAGCAACAGAATATCGGATGTAATCACCCACACTGGCACCCGCTCGCCAACGCGACGCGCAACGTCTTACAAGGACGTGTCACACAAATCGTCGCGAAACGCTCTCTATTCGTTCGATGCGAAAATTTGCTTTCTCGCTGTGTTGCTGCGATCCGATCGATCCGCACCGAAGGTTTTACAATTGTTTACGAGACGCAAATCGAAGAAGATCCATACGTATACACGCGTATGTACGTACGTAGCTACGAAACAAGGAGTGCTGTCTAAGTGGAATCGATCGGAACGCGAAGAAAATTTGAAGAAAAGTTGCTGGTAACTTGAGGATCGGACAGGGCCGAGCAGAGAAACGGCGAGATTCGCGGAGGAGGGATTCGCGGATAGAAACTGTATCGCAAAGCACGCCAGCCACGTGCATGCGAGAGCGATCAGTCTCACGAAGTTGTTCGCTTCTCGGTAATCCCTCTCGCTAATCGACCTTTTCTCTCTACAGAGAGAAGAGAGAACGTCGGTCACTGTCGACGTCGAAACGATAACGAGACGGTGGACGGTGACGTCACTGGACCACCAGACAGTACGTCGCCCAGAATCGGTATCAGCGATGGCAGAGGCAACGGCCACGTCCTCAGAAGCCACTTCGACGCCGCCGAGTCTGTGAGAAAGTTGGGTAAATGCCGAGGAGAACGAAAATAATTCCACCTTGGTGAAACAAACACGTTTCTTTCTAAATGGCGCAACCTGCCTTGTTCAACAGTGTTCGTTCTCCTAAGAAGAAGAACAAAGACAAAAAGAAAGAGAGAGAGAGAGGGAGTGAGAGAGAGAGAGAAAACGAAGAGGAAGAGAAGGAGGAGAAGAAAGATTGTTAGCGAACGAAACGATATCGGATTATGCGCTGACTTAGAAAACATCGGTATCGAGTATCGTGAAACGATGATGTAACTTTGGTGGTCAGAGGGCGGAACGAGCCCTATACGTATTTTTACGCTCGTACGCGATGAATGCCAATTCCAGCGGTCGTACACTCGGCTCGCCTCGGGTAGGCGAATATATCGACTTACTGGCGCAATCGAAACGAATCGTACGGATTATCTCGCGTTATCTCGGATCGTCAACCGGAATCTGCTTGTTCCATTCTTCTCCTAACTTCTCCGAACTTGTCGCCGGCCGAACTATTTGGCAACCAACGTCCAAGCGACGTTATATCTAACTTTGCTACTCGACAATGAAATTTGCGCGACAGTTTGGTCGCGGTGTAGAGAGACAGGAAGCGCATGTAGAACGGCAAAGGATGATGAGTCAGGCGAGTCGAAGAATCTGGCGGGCACGTAAGGACGGCGGGCTCTCATTGTCGGTTTTAGAGACCCGGAATCGCCCCGGCACGGAGTCGACACGTGTGCACGATGCATAACTAGGGGGACGAGCTTAATCTATCCTAAAAGAAAAAGAGCGAGAGAAAAAAAAAAACCAGAGTAAAGTTTCGCGTGTGTAACCGTAGCTTCGATCCTGCGGTTTCCACGTCTCTTTTTTCGGATCGTTTCAGAAGAGAAACCTTGAGCAAAGCGAGAGAGGCCGAACCCGGTCCGTGATTTATTGTCCTTGGCTAGAGATAATAAGGCACGATCGAGAGCTGGGAAGATTCTTTCGAAACGAAGGACTCTCTTCGTGCGCGGTCGCACGAATCTATTTTTTTTTTTTTTCTTTTCTCTTCGATCCCCTCCCCTCCCTCAAAGATCGCTTACACGTTTGACGATATATTCGCAAAAAAACATGCAAACTACCATTATGCCATTACACGCGACAAACTGTGACAATCGTTACGTCGGACCTCGGGACACGACAATTCTTTCGTTCGTTCTTTTTTTTTTTTCTTTTCTTTTCTTTTCTTTTCTTTTCTTGTTTCTTCTTTCGCGTTTGGACAATTTGATTTCCGCTGCTCGTGATATTCTGTACTTGCAATGTGCAATTACGAGCAATAAAAATTACGCGTAATACTCGCAATAAGAGAAACGAGTTGTAACTTTGTCGTGACTACTTTCCAATCCATCCTGCAACAAAACCAACGTCCGGACGTTCGAATACACGTCCGAATCGACGTCACCGTCACTTCATTATTTCTCTTAACGGCGATTTAGGCAAAACAAACAGTGAAAAAGTTAACTTCATAGTAAATAGGCACCAATTTTGTTTTCCATTAAACGTTATAAATATATACATATATCATGGTGTTTACTTCATTTTCCAAGAAGGTAGACGAGTAAGTCGACGAAACGACACGTAGGTAAAAGTTATCATCAAGATTTCATTTTCGGTTGAACCTACAGCGCGCTTTACTTTCATTTTCCCCGTAAATGTGCGACACTTTCGATCGATTGGTCGATCGGTCGGCGAAAACGCAGACGAATTGATAAATGTGAAAATTTGCCACGTGAGATATTTGGAGTCGGCGAAAAAGAGTCCGAAAGGATATTCTCGAGCGGCTACGAAAGACGATTGGTAAGTCGGAGATCTCTTTCGAAGGTCTGTGCGACTCTACCGATCAACGTCCGTACGGCCGGAAGTACTGCCATAACTGCCTTCCGCTCGATGTCCCCTTTCCCCGTGCTACTCCCACCAGAATATCACGTCAGTAATTATCGAACCGTTGATGAACTTGATCTCTTCGCTTTTGACCGACCATGTCACGCGCCAATTCGATCGTCAAAATATTTGGTGAGATATATTCCACATATGTACATGTTTGGATAATGTTTCGCCAAAGAGAACGTGTGAAACGATAGAGAAAATAGATCAACGTGCAATCTGTACTCACGTAATCATCACGAAAAAGTTCCGCGTGCGTTAGCGCCGTTTTCGCTTGAACGACAACTTGCTGCAGAAGCTGCGAGTCGGTTAGCTGCACCACGTCCAAATCACCGTTAAAATCATCGGCAGCGAGGCCACAAGGATTCACCCATTTCGGGGACGAGCTCAGCCGTCTATCCTCGGGCGTCATCGTCGGAGCGGCGTGCACCGAGACCACGAGCAGCGTCACCAAAAGACTAACTAACCCTGAAAGTCAAATTCAACATGGAAATGATTACACCGGTGGTGTAAACGGGGGACAGACTCGCGTGGCATTTTGTTCCAAATGGAGGCTACCAGCTTTCACGAAAGCTGACCGGTTTTTTCTTTTTTTTTCTTTTTTTCTTTTTGTCGGGTAAAATCGGATCAGAAAAACTTTTAGTCAGAAAAGTGAACGCTTCGAACGAGTCTGATTTCAGAAGTGGACACTTTCAGATAATTTTCGACATAGTTGGTTGCACGTTAGAAAAAAAAAAAAAAGACAGAAAAAAATACCAACGAAATGGACGAAACAGAATGGAAACGTGAAAAAAAGGCGATATTCGGTATCGGTATTCGCTCGTTTCGATTCGGTTTTGCTTTTATTGCCAATCGATGTGGACAACCGCGGCGGTACGTTATTAACGGACTCGTGCATGTATTAAGAAGACAAGAAGCAGCTCCGGTAGCTTGGTAGCAATCAACGATTTGACGTGAGACTCTCGTGAGGGGATGATGCCCTCGAGAGAAATCATGCCGCAGCTTCCGGCTTGTTGCTTCTACCTTGCCCGTCCTCCCCCCCCCCCTCCCTCCCTCCCTCTCAACCATCTCACCCATCCCGGCGATGATGCTGTCTCGCTCGATAGTAAGCGCCTAAATGGTAGATTTCGATCGAGGCCGTCTTATGATCATCCGGCAGTTTCGGGATCACCGCTCGTCGAATTACATCCACGCGAATTCGTCGTCGCATTATTTCACGAGTTACGACCGTTGATGAGGGGCCTGAGATCACGTGCACCGCTACGACGACAAACCATCAGCAGTCGCGTACGCATTCGGACCATGTATAACATAACCACCGCAGTCTACCGCGTATCGCTTCTCTTTCTTCCTTTAAACATCCTCCTCTTCCCTTCCCTTCGCGCGTCCTTTCCCTCCACATGCGGAACGTTCACGTAGAACGGGTAGATAGCGCGCGCTTCCAGCGAACGTACGAATACACACTTTTTTCGTCCACGAGGAACCTAGGATCTCGATCGATCCGATATCCGGTCAATCGAGTATCAAACTACAAGTCTGGTCGATACCGTGACACGCTGGTACCGACGAAATTACCATTTACGACGAAACCTCGATCTTTCAATACCCATCGACACGGTTCAGACTCTTTTTTTTTTTTTGTTTTTAAGTCGTTTGTCCGATTCAATCGTTCACCGCTGGTTGTTTTATCGTTTGCGGTTTCAATTGCTCGCTCGTTAGCACGGTCACCGCGGTAAATTGAAAAAAATCACTCGCGAATCAGTTGAAAAAACTGGTCGGCGTGTAACGGTGGTGTATCAAGAACTAGAAAATGTAGGTATGTTGTGCGATCGGTGGTGCGAACGGGCGCTAACGAATTTAATTTTAATGTGCAGCTACACGCGTGATGCAACGTGCATGACGGACGCGTTCTCGAGGCTCGCGACGAGAAGAATAAGCGGACGGAGGAAAGAGAAAGAAGGATACAGCGAAAAGGAGGGACCGGGGCGGAGGGGGTGAGGGGGAGGCAGGGAGACACCTCGGACACTTGACGCATATTAATAAGCGGCTCTTAAGTGCGTTTCGCGTCTCGCTGACGATGAGAGAGTAATTTGCCGCGGGGAAGTTTGCGCCCTCGAGTAACCATGAAATCCACGCGGTCGTCGCGTCTACCGTCTAACGTTCGTCTCCTTTCTTCTTCCTGCACACAGACGCACGTACTTCCTACACGCGCACGCACACACACACACACACACACACACACACGTCGATTGTCTCTCGAGCGTTTAAAAGGCTCGATACTAGCTTCTCGCTGATTCGGGATGAATATATACGACAAACCAGAGAACACGTCCCCTTTGGTTTAACCCGGCAGATTACATCGAAATTCTCTGCAACATACATCTACGTTTTGTACGTACACGTAGTACGTTACATCGCACAATGTACGATATGCGCGCACAATGTACGATAGCTACGTTGTGCTATGGGAAGGCAAGACGACGGCGACGATTAAGACGCGATTAAACGCAATTAGGATGTTTGCAGCGTGGAAAAGATATCTACGAATTTTCCATCGAATGAAACATGCCCAAAAGAACGCGGCGTCTATTCAATAACGCGGCAAGTACGTCTATCGTGGCACGAGTTCCCATGATCCAGGTAAATGATCTCTCAGCGTCTGCGATTATATTTCCTTACTCGGGTCGCTGGTACTTTCTCCAGTTTCTTTTAATTGCGCCACCTTTTTTTCCCCCCGTCTCTGAAAGTTAATTACTACACGATATGTCCTCCGAGGCCGGCCAAATTTGTCCGGCAATTCCGCAATTGCGATGATACGCGCTCTTTCCACGCGCGAGCACCCATTCTCGCGAGCCGTAAGAAACCGAAAGAGCCACCTGTGGCTCGTAACGCGCAACCTTGCCAGCTGGAATGCATCGTGTCCAATTTGCCTCGTTCGCCCAACCAGCTACACCTCTGCCTATTTATTACACGCGCGTACTTTTGTCCGATTAAAAATTATCAAACGGTCCAACAGACTCGAGTACACGAGTACACGAGTCGTCGAGTTAACGACGAGTTAATGTTCGAACTCTGAGAGCGCAGATAAAGTCCCGCTAACGCGGAACACTTTGATTGTTTTCCTTTTCGTTAATTCGCGTTCGCGCAACGCGTCGCTTCCGTGTTACATATTTCGGTCGGCGTTCGAACGAGGGAAACGGAGCTCTCTGTACGGGTGAAACGGGTGCGCAGCAGCGCGTTGTTCGCGGAACAATTCGACTTGCCGCGACTTGCCGCGACTTGCCGCGACTTGCCGCGGAGCAATTCGGTAGGCGGTCAACTAACGGTCGGCTAATCCAACGCTCGCGCATCTTTTGTACTTTCGCCCCGTGTGGCCTGGTGGACGTAGACCCAGCGTACAGCTAGGACCTACCTCAACGACGACGACGAAGCTCGGCGACGGCCGCGGCGTTCCAACGAAATTCCTGGGAAGCCGCGGTTCCGTGGAAAAAAGTAAGGCGCGCAAAGCCGGTGGACGCCGGTGCAAGCGCATCTCTTGCCGTTGCCCGGCAAGAACATGCTGAAAAATGCGGTAATGACGCACTGTCCTCGCATTGCTCGCGACAATTATACCCCATTACGCCCGCGCCCCCGTCCCGCCAACTCCCCCTTTATCACCCAGGTCGCGTCCGTGCCCGGACCGAGCCACCTTGCGGTAGGTCGCGATCCCTCTACCTTCTTCCCTTTTCTCTATTCCTTCTCTCCTCTCCTCTCCTCTCCTCTCCTCTCCTCTCCTCTCCTCTCCTCTTTCCTCTTCTCTTCTCTATCGTAGGAAGCTGTCGCTTTACCCTACTTTCATACTTTCAATACGTCAATTTCCAATTTCACCAAAACATCGACTGTGTTCTTGAAACTTCCAACGATCGAACGTCGATCGAACGAACAAATCATTTGAGTAACCGATCGATTTCAGTTTTAGCAAGCTGTGTCAAACGCAGCGAATATACCGCGTGCACCACCGGCTGTGATTTTAATCATTTTGTTTTTTTTCTTTTCTAAATTTCGTTCGACGATAAATCGTCTCTGTTGAAAGAAAAGAAAAACAACATCGTCGGGGTTTAGTAAATTGTCGTCGCGCGGAACGTCCCCGTCGTGGCAGCCACGTGACGCATGGAAATTTCACGAACCGGAGCGCGGCCGTCAGTCACGGGCTGTTCGCGAGTGTTCAACAGGTGGGTGTGTCGAGAGAGTGCACGCGGCACTTTCCATTCACCTCACACTTTCCGTCCGATCTCCCGTAAAAATAAAATTCTCAACCAATTTTCCTCGCTGTCCGTCGTATCGAAGGAAACGACGAGCAGAGAGGAGTGGATAAGAAGGACCGTTACAAGGAGAGTGACTAATACGTATCGTACGTTCATCGACTTGTTCCAAAGTGACGTCAAACCATCGGAGAGAGAATGTCAACAGGGACAAAGGACCGAGGAGAAGAAGAACGTTGTACGATCGCGTTTACGCGGCAACTGCCACTCGAACGTTGAAGTTTCTCGCGAACCAGTCGTTTTTAACGATGCTTCGTCTCGCATTCGGAAAGTCAAATTCCCCGACGACGTATTGCACATACGTCGCGTAAAAAGTTGTTTGCAAGTTGCTTCCAAGAGTGAGTGGACAAGCACGCTGCAACAAGTGATTCTTCTGGCAACGCGGAATCAACGCGCGACAATTTTCAAACTTCTACGCAACGAGAGTGGGGTTGTGTTCGTGCTTGTGTTTGTGTTTTCATCTTTGACACAAGTAAAAGCATCGAACGAACGAACGTAGTTCAGAATCAGGGAAAGACACCGAACGCAAGATCATTACGTAAGAAAGTATTGATTTTACGTGAGTCAGCGTCAGATGTGTTGATGTGTGTTGCACGTTGAACGAACAGAGACGTTAATGAACGACACTCGTAACGATGTATGTTGTTTTTTGCTAACTGTAATTCGTTAAACGGTAACTCGCGCCTACTCTACTAAAGCGAGACCGGACTTATGAAAACGTGGGTAAATCCAAGCCACCTAATTCTTAATTCAACTGTTTCAAACAAACAACGCGCGACAGAATTTCTAACGACGATCTCGAGGTTAATCGATCAGAGAGCAATTCAGCTCCAGCCAAATCCGTCATTCACGATACTTGGAGGGCCACGCTGTTACGAGAGCTGTAAGAACGAAGCGTATCTCAAAGTGTATCAATTCGGAGAACACGTTGCTACCGGAAAGAGGACATTCGGTCAAGATAACGTACAACAATCTGGAACGTAACGTAGGATGTACATGTACTCGTCCGGATGGATTTCGCGTACGCGAATTTCGTCAGAATTTTCACACAGACGACGAAATATGAACGAGCCTTTGGCGACAGTCGCATCGCCCTCAACGTTGCACGGAAATAACTAAAAGGGAAAGAGATCCTCGCAATCGGGGGACACAAGTCCGATAAAGTATCGAAGAGAAAGATACAAACAAACGAATGGAGTGGATGAAATGAAATGAAATGAAATGAAATGAAATGACGAATGATGAGAAAAGAGAAAGATGGATAAAAAGAACGGAGGAGTTGGCTCCCCGCGCGTGTTTTCTCGAAAACACGCGGTACGAAAACATCAAGCAAGTTGTATTTCGTAGACTGTAGATTGTAGACTGTGGATTGTGTAGCGAGTAGTTGAACTTACTGAGCCACGTGGTCGCGGCGGCGGCGGCGACGACGGATGCGTTGTATCTCGATCGTATCCTCCGATCGTCGTAAAAAGCAGATACCGGGCACGAGTCACACGACAAGCGTCTCTTCTTCGGATGGTTTCTCTCTGTTCCCGAAGCGATAACCGTCGCTAATCGTTGATTCTTATCGGGGATGGTTCTGTACCATTTGGCGGTGGTGGTTGTTTGGGTTTGGGTTGACGGTCTGTTTAGCTGGTGGGACGCAGTGGTGGTGGTATCGTTTAGGCCGTTCGGCGAGATACGACGATGATCGAGAACTCGGTGGGAAGTGGTCCTTTGGTCACGAACTAGAATGGCCTCCATTGTCACTTGTTGATCGTTCGCGATCGTAGTATCCTGCACAACTGTCATATTCGCATAGCACTTGATCACTCTGGAGTAGGAAGCGGGCACTCGCGGTGGCGCGTGGCGGCCAAGGAGCGAGCGAGACGAGTATCTACACGATCCTCGCGTGTCGCAGCACACCGATGTATACCGTACTGGCTGCGCGAAGGCGCGGGTCACTGGTACCCGCTCGTCGTCGAGCGTGTATTTACGTAGCTGACAGATACCAGTCGCATGGAGAACACACTGACTCGTTATACATACGTATATACGACGTATATTAGACGTTGATGATGGCGTTGATAGCGTTTATTTTATTTCCCTGCGATTCGGTATATCGTTTAAGAAAGCAAACGAGTTGTGTTCAATACGAGAGAGCGAGCGAGCGAGCGAGAGAAGGAGAGAGAGAGAGAGAGAGAGAGAGAGAGGAGAGCGGTTCACTTGGTTGGTATTCACTTGATCGGTCGTCTTGGCTAAATCATAGGCTAGAGTGGAGTGTATATGGTCACACTTGAAAAACTGTCCGTACGGAATCACAACTCGTTTGGCACTGGTCCCGACACACGCGATGCACTGATTCTTATACGAGGGGAGAAGGGGGTTACGAGAGCTGTCTCAGAAGAAGGTAGGAGGAGGAGGAGGGGAACGGTAGGTGCTTAAGAATGTGGCGGGGAGGTTCGTGTGGAAAGGAAAAAGAATCGACGGGGTATCCTGGTACGTACACCGTTAAGGGTGGTCGGTGACGATTGACAGTGACGCTGACGGTGACGCTGACGGTGACGATGACGATGACGATGACGATGACGATGACGATGACGATGACGATGACGATAACGATGGTAGTAGCGGTACTAGTGGTAATAACGAAGACGTTTTCGTTTTCTTTTCGTTTTTTTCTTTTCTTTTCTTTTTTTTCGGTTTAGTTGGTCCCTCTCTCTCTCTCTCTCTCTCGCTCGCTCTCTTTCTCTCTTTCTTTCTCTCCCTCACTATTTCTCTCTGTTTCTCTTTCCCTCGTGTTCGCGGGTGATTATCCCTTTTACCGACTGCGTTGGTGGAACGCCGAGTCTCGGGGATCTTGTCTCCGACCCTAGGCTGGAAACCCTAGCTTTCGCGATATCGTTTCAGTCGCACTCGCAGTGGGGTAAGGTCGTACCATACTGAATGTTAGGAGGTGACTGAGGTCTTGGTCGCCCTCGTCTGGCTGAGTGTATCGAGTGTATCACCTCTCGCCTCTGTCCGAGTTAACCACAGCGCAGAGAAGGTAGGTAGGTAGGTAGGTAGGTATAGAAACAGAGAAGGAGAAGCCAGCTATAGGCAGGCGAGCGAGCAGAGGCAGGCTGTTCGTTCGTCGTTATAGTAGGAGTGAACCTGCGTAAGGGAATGGAAGTGGAAGGTGGACTTCTGTCTGTCTGTCTGTCTGTCTGTCTGTCTGCCTGACTGCCTGCCTGCCTGCCTGCCTGCCTGCCTGCCTGCCGCCTTGCTTGTCGGTTTCTCTTGTCCGTCTCTCGTTCCTTCTCCCTCTATCTGTTCTATTCTCTCTCGTTCTCTTTCCCCTCTTCCTTCTTTTCTTCCTCATCGTCCAACGTGTCCTTCTTTTCCTCTTTTATCTCTCGTACGTACGTAGCCTGACCGAGTGTACGACTATCGAGGTGTATGGTAGTGGCTACTCAGTCGACCGGTGCCTATATACGATTGTAAAAGCCACCGAAGCACGTGGCCCATACCCTGCATTCGGTCAATCCTAACTACGATCCCCACTTACCCTTCTTCTTCTTCTTTGCCCTTCCTCCGTCACTTGTCGCTTTCTCGTTTTTTCCTCCCTCCCTTTCCCCCCTTACTTCTCTCTCTCTCTCTCTCTCTCTCTCTCTCTCTCTCTCTCTCTCTCTCTCTCTCTCTCNACCTGTCACTCTCTCTCTCTCTCTCTCTCTCTTTCTCTCTCTCTCTCCGTTACTTCTTTTTCTCTCCTGCTCCTCCGGTCTCTGCCTCCCGTCTTCTACCTCCTGCCGCGCGATCGCATCCCTCCTCTCTGCTTCGCGCTCACCACTACCGCCTCTCCCACCACGTGAACCACACTCGTGGCTCACTCAGAACTTCACGACTCATTCATAACTCCCCGCGAGCGTCCAGCTATCCCCCCACTCAACGCCTTCCATCGGTCTACCCCCACTTGCCGGTGCCGTGGAAGCCGGCCACCTAAACCAAGCGATCCTCGACTCTGCTTCGTCGTCAGCTTGCTGCAAGCTCCACGCTAAGTCGGATCGGTGCGGTGTCGGCACGTTCCGCGACTCCCTCGCAGACGTCTCGCTCACAGGTGCGCCGTGCGTCGTGCCATCTGTCACCGATCGTTCCACCTCGTCCATCCTAGCGATTTCTTCCATTTACATCTTTCTCCGTTTGCCATCGATCCGCAAACTTTTTCCCAAAGTTGCATCAACGTTTCCACCCTCCCCCCTCCAGAGAAGACAACTCCAATTAATGCCAATTCGTCGATTCGAAAACCTGTTGCATCGTCTGCTTTGCCCTCTTCTCGCCCCCTTCTCAACCTGTTGCAGCGAACGACTGACTAGCTGGTCCGTATTGTCCAGCGAGTGGACAAGTGCGTAAAGCGTAGAGACAGCGTAGGTCTCATGTACGCGATGTTGGATCGCAGTTGGATCGTGGAGGACGATTCAGTCGTCGATGGTATGTCGTCTAGGGAAGGCTCGATGCTCGCACGCAGCTGCAGGACGTTCCGTCGTTGGCACGCGAGCGCTTTTTCCACGCTCGGGACAGAAGACGCGTCGTTAGCCGGTTCGTTTCCTCACCGTGAGAATCAGCAGCGATGCATTAATGCGTTTTTATAAATAATCCCGTTTCATCGAGCAACTTCTCCCCAGTCAGAGGGGATTCTGTCTTCTGTCAATTATCGCGGTCCGAGGCACGCGAGATCTTTTCGCAGCATCCATTGCGCGCAAAGACGAACGCTCGGTCTCTCGGACGTGCAATTAATAACCGCGAGAGCCGCGAGATCGTGACTTTTCGCTGCGTCAGAGATCGAGCACGGTCGCGCGTCCTCGTGTGTGCACGCGGCTACGCACACGAACCGCGTTTCGATAGACGTAAAAACACCGTGGAATAACTCTAATAATAGAGAAGATGACGATAATGGTAATAACTACGATATCTCGACGCTCGTGCAACAACATGGATTAATTGCCGTCGAGATTGTGAGGATAACAAGCGTCTGGAGCATCCAGCGATCAACGTGACAATGACAATGACAATGACAATGAACATTTTACGTCAGGGCAAGCGGAATAGTCAGTGAACTACATACTATCTTCTTCTCTAGATGCGTTAAAACCAATTTGTCGTAACCGAATGACTCATTCGCATAGTTATACGTTATCTGGTTGGTTATCCATCATTTGCGTATTTGACGAACGTTCGTGATGATGCAAGTTTTTCTCGATTATGCTTTCTCACAGATAGCGTTTCTGATCGGTCGTCGTCGCTCGTCTCGCCGCGATATCGAAACAAAAGTAACTAGCCATCCGTGTTTTTACCCTACTGCAACTTTGAGAATTATTTTACAAACGCGCAGGCGTTGAAACTTACTAGTAGAGCAAATACCAATGCTCGTGAATACAAATACGATGTCGGTTCCTTGTCCGGACAGAACGGACACGACTCGCAAAAAGGATGAAAGGTTTCTCCTTTCTTGTACGTACGCGGCAGTATTCTTCTCTTCCGTTTCGTACGTTTGCACCCAAGTGTATCTGCAGGGATATACTCGATTGTCGTCAGTGTGGATGTCGTTAAGTCTCTGTGCAATTAGTTGCACGTTCACTCAACCGTGTGCTCGTCTCGCCTCCACCTCCGCGACATACCTCTCCCTTTTGTTCGTAGTTACTCTGCCGTTCTCGTTTCTCTGCCAGCTTCGTGAAATCATCGATGACGTTCCCTCCCTCGTTCGTATCTCGTATTGCTGCGTGAAACCCCCGTTCTATCTCACGATAGACTCGAGGGGGAGGTTGGAGCTACAGCTTCGTTAACGACGAACGCGGCACAACCACCGAAACGTAACGAATCTTTCTCGGTAGAACGGAGGCGTGCGAGTCAAGAGACGACGACATTTATTTCCTAGATCTTTTTTTTTTTTTTTTTTCCTCCTAGATGTTTTCCCGGCAGCGCAAAGACGTCATGCTTCTCAACAATAGATATTCGCGTTTTATTGGCGAATGATTTCACCATTTTTATAAGCTACCGTATATCCATCGAATGCACTACCCAGCGCGTGAGGGCGTGTATACACTTTTTGACGGGCAGAAGCGTAGATGTGCATATAACTACGCAAGTTACAACGATTAACGGCGGATACGTCTCGAGTGTGACGATCGATAGAGAAAGGATTTCTCTAGGATGACTAAGCGGTTTCTATCACGCTCACTTTGGAACGAGTGGCGATGAGTAAGAACGATCGGGCCAACGATCGGGTTTCTGGGTTACGGTGTCACCCATCGTACCGGGTAACGCGACTATTTTTGATTATTATTGCGCGCGTCACGTCACACAAGGAGATTGGAAAAATCGAAAAAAATCTTGTCAACTTTGCGGCAAGAAGAAGATCGGCCTCCCTTTCCTAAAGGCATCTTCCTTCTACCTTTGCCGCCATTGGCTTATCGCGCAGGTAAACTGGTTAACGGGATGACGCAGGGATTTTTCGCAACGGTTACGACGGTCTCGGCAATTGTTGCGAAAGGATTTCGCGCCTACGGAGGCGCGGACGTCTACACCGGCTACGTCACGTTAATTTTCGGGGTCAAGTGCAGAAGAAACAGCGCCGCTGTTCGAGAAATACCTCGTTTATTACCACACTGTACGTTTCTATCTACGATACCACGACGTTGGAAGCTGGAATACTCTGTTATGTAACGAGAGGATGGCCATCTTGCCTAGTATCTACCTATTACACATAGGTATGCACATCTCGACACAACTACCGAGCAAATTAACACCTGTTTTAAATCTATTAACAATTTAAACGAATCGAACGTGAGATTTACGCAAGACATAATTATTAACTGTTTGCCCGTTATTTCTGATTCGCTTCGTGGCATAGTCCGTAACAGTTGGTCGCTAGCTAGTTATCAACTAACTCGTTTCGACAGCAACTTTATTTTCCCTTTCGTTTGTGTCGTCGTACTTGAATGTAATTTATTCTCCTCAACTCCGTAAACTCTGAACTATTCGTAAATTATCCGGACATCCAAAGATAAAATTGGCAACGGTAGAAACGTTACTAACTTTCTCTTGTTCGATTAGCTCGGGCAACTCTTTCGTGTGAATCCTCACGTATTGAACGCCGCAACCGTATCGAAATGCTACCATCGAAACAGGACAAGCGTTAGCGTTTAAGCAAACCGAGCGATTTAATCCTGACCTTGCCAACCCTTCCACTGCCACTAAACTCTCAACGTAAGATTACGCGGGAAAGTCAGCTGGGGTACAATACGCGTGACAATTTGAACGTTGCGCGCCTTCCGCCGAAAGTCGTGTCTTCCTTCGTTGACACGTGCGTTACACACGTACTACGTATGTATACCGTGATTCAGTCACTCGACTCGGCCTCGACTCGGTCGAACGCTAACCGCTTCGCAAATTCACGCCGTATCGAAAATTCTCACGTGGACCGCGGAGAAATTTCCGCACCGCATAATCTCGTAAGAATGCAACGCGACGATACGTGACTGCTGCAGGTTCGTTCGACGGCGCGGAATCTCGTTGTTATCAGAGAGAACATGTGTCACGTGTTCAAACGCGTTCACGTGTTTCACGTAAACGCAAGCTTAAAAAAATTGACGTCCAAGTTTCCACCAAGTTCTCGGCGAGCGTCGTTGTTTTGCCGCTCGGCGTTGTCGAGATTGAGA